CAATCTGAATGTAGCTGCTAGGAGCCTCTCTAACAATGATCATTCATTTGAAGTTAGAGTTTAATCACTCTCCAGAAGTATATTCTTTATATTATGCTTGTAAAAAAGTGGTAAACAGCGACAAAACAAGTCTTAGGCTCTGAGAAGACAAGCTACACTCTCCTACTAAAAAGTAGTCCACCCATCTTTTCTGTTCTTTACGGTACCCAGAAACAATAAAACACCCCTGTTTTCTCTATATAAGTAGCCTTGTTTGTGTTTTCATTCATTGTGTTTAAACTTAAAGACCCCCAAAATAGTTTCCACTAACAATTGAATACAGTTGAAATACAATAAAACAAATCCATAAAATACAATGGACAGCAGAAGGAAAATGCAAACCAACAATGCAATCTAATCCATTGATTTAAATGAACTTAAATAATGTAACTCTACTTAGGTCTGCACTGTAAGTCAAGCAGGAGCAGAATTATGAAACGACAACAGCAGTAGATAAATCAGTTATCAGAATAAGAACAGTGGGGAAAAAAGAGTTACACAATTCCATCCCAGTTAAGAAAATGCCTGGACAAAGAAACGGGTCTTAACCTGGTGCCTAAAGATCAGTAGACTCAGCACCAAGGAATTACAGGAAGTGTCTTCTGTAACTGGAATGCCGCAACAGAGGAGTTTTCCTTAATGATTTCCCAAGTCAGCTCAGAAGATGAGGAACAGGACAGAAATTCTGACAGTATGTCCACAAAGCAGTATGTGTGTTTCATACTAATGCTGCAGAACTTAATTTGTGAGAGTAGTGTGCAATGGTTATAATGTGGTTGGGATGTGCTTTGAATGATTATTAGGAAGGCACTCAGCTTTTGACTGCTATTGGAACTATTAAGAAGGACTTCCAGTACCTCTGATAGATTTCTCAGATAATGTGCCCACATTTTTGAAAAACTAAAAGCTTTATATGAGTTCAAAATATTAAAGAAGGCAATGCTGCTGATGGACTATTGTGTATGACACTATTAGAGTTACTCTTGGCTTGTGTTTTGTATTAGTCATAGAAAAAGATTCTCTAAAAAGAAGTTATTCATCAAGGAAAGTGTGTATGTGTCATACAGAAATGTAGAATTGCCCATAATACATTATCATCACAGATGCAAAGAGGATGAATTAATATAATAATCATGTATAATGCTATGAAACTAGGCCAATTAAAAGTTTGTAACAGACAATATGAATTGAAGCCAGAAAACTGATTCTCTGTTATTGCTATGGAGCATAATGGCAGGAATCTTTCATCTCACAAAGTATTCAACTATTTCCTATTAAGAATATGAAAATGCAATACAAAGGGACAGCAGTTTGCATAGGCATTCATATTACCAACATTAGTTTTAGTGAATTACTGATTTATTATTATGGTGATGATACTTTACTGGTTAGGTATTTTGAAAAAAAAAATCAAGCAGAACAAGTACCTGGTATGCTGTGTGGATACTATGCCAGGCAGGGGCATAGCCATGGTGGGGCACTTAGGGGCATGTGCCCCATCACTCATGATTCGCACCCCCTACTCCTGCTGCCCCTGCCTTTACCTGCTGGCCGCACTCGTTTGCTTCAGCTGGTACAGGAGAAGGAGAGCCATCTGGCCAGCCGGTGCTATTAATACTTGGCGAGTATGTGTTCTGTGCTACAGCAGCAGGCAGGTGAGGCCTGTCGCTACTGTAGCATGGAGCACATATTCACCAAGTATTAATCACACCAGCCCACTGGCTCTCCCTCTGCCTGGCCAAGTGAGCGGGTGGATGAGGCAGGCAGCCTCACTGCAATCATGTGACTGCACATGACTGGGTCACACTTCAGCAAGGCCTGCCTGCCTCATCTGCTCACTCGCTGCCCTGTTGCCTGGCCGGAGAGAAGGAGAGCTGGCCGGCTGGTGCAATTGATATTCAGCGTATATGCACTCTGTAAGGTAAGGTAAGGAAAGAATCTTCTCTTTTTCACCTGCCTGCTGATGGGATCTCTCTCTCTCTCTCTCTCTCCCCCACATTTCCCCATCCCACAAGATTTCCCAGTGCCCCACCAACCAAAGTTTTCTGGCTACTCCCCTGATGCTAGGGCTAATGCTGGTGAAATGAAGTTGTGTGCCTATGGTCAACCAGTGACACAACAAGGACACAGCAGTGACTGTACAAATCAAAGCTAGCTTACCAGCTAACACTGGCATCTCATTGGCATCCCTGGAAAATCTGCTAATACTCCGCAATTATAACACTATGCCGCCCAGAGAGAAAATTTGGTGTCGTGTTTAGGAGCGTGGACTCTAATCTGGGAGAACTGGGTTTGATTCCCTACTTCTCCACATGCAGCTGCTGGGTGACCTTGGGAAAGCTACAGTTGTCTCAGAGCTGTTCTCTCAAGAGCAGTTCTCAAAGCACTCTCTCATCCGTACCTTCCTCACAGGGTATCTGCTGTGGGGAGAGGAAAGGAAGAAGATTGCAAACCACTATGAGACTCCAAGTGAAGGGTGGGCTATAAATCCAATCTCCTCCTCCTCCTCCTCCTACTCTTCTTCTTCTTCTTCCCCCTCCTCCTTAGGCATGGGAGGTAACCGTCAATGCACAGTGAAGTCTGAATGAGTACACCTAACCTAGTACATACCCTTCTTCCACACACAACAGACAACTAGGCAGCTAGAAAAAGAACAAGCATTTTTTCAGGAAAGATGGGTTGGGACTATGCACAAGGAAGAACAGAAGCTACAACAGTACTTGTTTCCTTTGTAAATAGCAGCTGGAACATGTAGATCTGTCCTCGCAGAGGAGGGAGAGCTTGTACCTGAATAAAACTTGCTCTTAAAGGTGCCACGGGACTGTTTTGGGCTGGGGGCCCGGGGGGTGGGGCTCTTCAACTTACCTGGCTGCTTCTTGCTCTGACTGAGGGCTGCTGAGAGCAGAGGGTGGGGCTTGTTGCATGTGCCCGCCCCTTGGGCTCTTTACTGCTGGAGCTCCGCTCCTGTGCACTCCTGCAGGAAATGACCCCTGTCAAGTAATATATGAAAAAATGATTCGTTTGCTCAATTATGGGAATAGACTGGATTTGTGCTAATAACCTGACTATTTTATGGTGCACTTTGTGCACTGCCTTGAGTACAGTTGTTGCAGATAAGTGACCTGTTACTTATACCCTTTTGAGAACTCCATTGTTCACTGAGCCAAACCCATTTATTCTGGATCTGTGGTTGGCAATCTTTCCATTACTGTATGTAATTGTTAAGTGCTGGCTTCCACACAGATTACAGAAAAGCCTCTTCTGAGAAATCTTTAGTTTCCATTTTGTTGTCAGC